GGGGGGGGGTTGCATTATCTCTTTCAGCTTTCACTTTCTGATGTTGTATTTAGTATAAAGTCAAACTTTAGATTACAACCTGCACTCTTTGCTTCTCTACCTTTAGAAAGGAACAGAGCAGTTATCAGTTTTTTGTTTGCATGGTTGTATTAAGTCTTTTGACTTGACTATAACTTTCTCCTTTTTTGTTACTATTTTTGCTAATCTTGACTTTACAGAATTATAGCTTATGCCTCTGAAATCTTGTCTTTATTGGAATAGATGTGACTACAAATTACTATATGCTTGTTCTGCTGTGTGAATCTTTGCAGTTCATGATTCCGTCATTTGTTTGCTTGCTTTTCTCTCTTCTCATATTTTTATTTTTGTTTCCATTTAGGGTTTCTCTATTTCTTTGTATTGATGTGGTACTCTCTTTTTTTTTTTCTTTTTTTCTTTTTTTAATAAAGCCTGTGGTGGATGCCTTTGATCCAAGATTTTTGGTGTCTCCTCCAATCTGCCACGTGCTTAACTTTACTGAAATAAAGGTATTAGTAAATTTTTCATCCCCTGTGATTGTTGGTTGCATCATCATCTTTTTATTGAACAATTTAATACTAGGGGAAACTATAATTTAGCTACTTGTGGTTTAAGGTTGGTGCATAGAAAGACTCGAGATTTTAAAATGTGCATATAACGATTTGAGGTGGGTGCACATAAAAACATGAGATTTCAAGATGTACAAATAAGGACCTAAGATTTGTATTTGGTGTACATAACCACTTGAAGTTACATGAAATTGTCTTAAATACCCTTATTTTTCTTTATTTTTCTTTTCTTTACATTCTTTTAAGTTATGGGTATTTAAGAAATTTCAAGTGATTATTTGCACCAAGTGCAGACCTTAGGTGTTTATGTGCACATTTTGATATCTTGGGTCTTTATCTGCACATACTCAAAACCACAAGTATGTTATATGCACATTTTAAAACTTCAAGTCTTTATGTGCACTTACCTCAAACTACAAGTAGCTAAATTGCAATTTCTACTTAATACTATTATGTTTTTTATATTACATTGATCATACTCCATTAATTAATGTTATCTTGAATTTGAAAATTTTCCTACTCCATATTTCCGCTATTAAAACAATCTTGTATTACAGACATTATATCAATGTAGTCATTCTTAGTTTTTCGGAATATTGCAATACTTTTGCATTCAATAACAGTGTAGGTTCTTGCCGTTTAAAACGCTGGTTGGTAAATGTGCTAACTTGATGTTACTAATTCTAAATTCCTTTTTGCAGGAAGAGAGTTTATATGAAATTGACATTCCGTTAAAATTCACAGCATCTGTTGGCACTAGAGTGCATGGCTTGGCTTGCTGGTTTGACGTATTGTTTAACGGGAGGTAATAATTTTTTCTTGTATTATTTTTGTCAGGTTTGCCTTTACATATATTTTGACTCCCTCTCAAACTACTTGTTGAACAGTACTGTACAACGATGGCTCACCACTGCCCCTGGTTCACCTACAACCCACTGGTACCAAATACGTTGTCTTCTCTCTCAGCCAATTTATGTTATGGCTGGACAAGAAATCACGGGCCGACTGCACATGATTGCCCACAATGCACAGAGTTACACCATATATCTAACATTGTCAGGTTGTTTTCCCTTTTTCTTTGTTCTATCTTTTCTATATTTGCTTGTTTGTTGGCTTGGTTTCTGACCATTTACTGTGATTCCTATAGCTAAAATGTGGGGTCCTGGGGCTGAACAAGGAGGAATTATTCAGACCTCATCCTGTAAACTAGATCTCAAAGAACCCTACTATAGAATGTCTCAGCCACAACCCTACATGTTGGCACAGGACCAACAACCACATCAACTAATACAAGCACAGGTATAAACTTCTTTTCTCATGAACTTCCATCTTCATCTTTTTCGGAAAAAAAAAATATCCATCAATTGCTCAGGATCAGAAGTTTCCTACCTGAAGTTAGTAACTTGGTAAATTACCATCCACTTTGGAGCCAAGACTAGAGCCTTGACTTGATAATAAGAAGTTAACTGAGCTATTGGCTATCTTACATGTATGGTTTTTTCACAATGGCAAATCATGTGTTAAGGAGAACTTCCCCATAAACATTATCCTCAACAAGTTAATTGACCAATAGTGTTCTGTTATGATGTGCAATTTAAGTACTTTTGCAAGTTTTAGCTGATATGTTAGAAATGTTAATGGTTGCTTCACCAGGATATACAGATTCAAGGTGATGATTTAGAGGAACCGGAGTTGCTGCAGCAACCATCACAAAGTTGAGGCCCTCGGACTTAATAATTATTTTTCGATTGAAATATGTTCTATTTTCCAAGACAATGTTATAACCTAACAGCCATGTGTTTGTAACATAAATTTTCCAAGCAGGGCTCTGCATCAGTCAGCTTGGTTCAATGCCTCATGTAAATTAGATATAACGTTTTCATTCGAGATTTCATCGTGACTTATCCCAGTTGAATAATCAAATCCATATTAGATGAATTCTAAGCTGACTTGTCAGCTAAGAAGATGAATGTATACCATATGTAACAGTCTAATTCGCTATTAATATTGTCTATTTTGGTTCACTAAACCTCACAATTTTAAAATGCGTTAGTTAATAAGGGTTAATGGGTGTTTATTTATCTATATACTCAATATCTTTCTTATGCTTTGTCAATGTGAGATTTGCTTAATAGTGTTATATGTGTATTTGATTTCGTCCTCTTTGGTTTTGTATTTGTTTTTTCTTATTACGACATTACATAACAATCTTAAATAGATTAATGTTTTGTTTGATAATGTTTCCTATCTAAAATTATGATTTTATGATTCTTAATTAATTTTAATTATTTTTATTGTATATATATTAATTTTAAATAATATTTTATTTATTTTGGTATAATAAAAGACAAAAACAAGCAGTTACAACTTACAACGCTGACAAACTTTACTTAAGAGTGTAGTTAGCAGTCTTCCCTTTGATTTATCAGATGTTCAAGAATCAAACCTATGACTTTGTCCAAAATCATGAACGGGAAGATGATCAAATTATTATTACAGAGAGTTCACCATATTAAGCTTTCATGAGGACGGTACACTTTTTGACTATACCAAAAACTATGTGTTCAAGTTCATGTTTTCTTTGTGGAAAATGTATAAAATATAAAATATGTGTTCAAGTTCATGTTTTCTTTGTGGAAAATGTATAAAATGTGAACTTAAAGAAATTTTAAGAAGGTGAAAAATGTTAGAAATATCATTGTTGGTTGGGTTCCTGAAACTTGAGAGATGGTTATGTCTATTTTTAATTATTAATCTGAAATAAGATATTGAAGGAAACTAAAGTGTATTTAACTAATCGAACATGGTTAGAATTCATCACAACTGTTGATAGGTAATAAGATTCATCAGATGCCGCAAACAGTCAATTGGGTGGGATTCTGGGTTATTCATGTATGCAGAGAGAATCAGCACCCCGTATTTAAACTATGATTATAATGGAGATTAGTAGTCGCTGCACAAGAGCTAGCAGTGTCACTTCAGTTCCATAAGAACATTTAGACATGGAACTGGTGAGCAACAATTACAGTGATGAACTTCAGGAAATATTTCAACTTCTCTGCAAAACAATGAATGTAAAGAAAAGATTTTTACCTTTTTAAGATACTGCTTTGACAGTCTGTCTTTTTCGCACAACTTGGATAGAAAATTATGTGGGGTAAGTACTTTAGTCAGCATGTGAGTTTATTAATGTAACATCCAAAAGAATAGTTTAGCAAGATAATGAGGAAAAAGGTGGAATGTAGATTATAGATGCATAATTTGTTATAGTAATTTATACTCTTTTTGTCTCAGAATAACAGTCATTTTTTGATTTAAAATTTTTCTCAAATTATTGTCATCCATGAACAACAAATAAGGCCATAGACATTATAACAAATAAGGCCAATTCATGAACAACCAAAATGCAGGTATTATCACAGTTCACTACCCCTTTAAACTTGTCAGAGTAAATTGACATTCCTTTATGGTAACAAAAATGAGCATCAAATCCAATTTAGCAGAAACTTAAGCTTATTTTCC